AGTATCTTTGACCCGTTCACAAAATTTATACAAGAACATATCAGAGTCCCCCACCCCTTGATTAAACCAGACATAACCAAATCCATATTTAAATAGCAATTCTTTAATTTCTGTGGCCGATGACCTTTGTCCTTTTTCGTCCAATGAAAGTAGCATCCGGTAAGTTTTCTGGGGTAATCTGTTTTCATCCATGCTAGTAATTTTTAACCAATATTTCACACATCGTTTAACATGGTAACAAAATAAGGGTAGCCTCCCACATATTCCTGACATGGTTATATTCCAGCTATATTACTATATATCTTAAATTTGATAACTAACAGGGACTGTGCCATGCATGGCTTGTATTTTTCAGATCAGAATCAAAATGGCTGTCTGGCGGCCATTTTGTTTTAATGAGTGTTTCCAAACATTTGAGTGATTTGTCTCCACCCCTGTTTATTTCACAGATTAGTCATTTGCATATGAATGTATCAGACACAAGGTCACACAGCCACTGAAAAAAATCATTGATTTTGGTGTTTTCATTTTATCGAATTATAGCTATCCCATTCCTTTATTTTTTGGTTTCCAATAGCCTTACACATTTGGGTGCCCCCTACACATGTTAAAACAGACCTTGATGGGAAAACAAATTGATTGTGCCGATAAACAAGCTTGAAAATCTTTGCTGTTACTTCATGGACGTTTTCTAGGAGTTTATGTTTTTCAAAATACAAGGTCTTTAACAAAAAATAACGTATACTTATTGTCGTCGGATTAACACCAAATTTTCACAGCTTTAAGGTAGCGAGACTATTATTTGTGTTGAAAATTACTATTTTCACATTTATTTATTAATTGATGAAATGCACTATAAACTTTTATCTGATAAAGTCAACGTAACCTAGAATGTCATGTAAGTTGGTTAAAATGTAGATTTTCTGAAGGGAAGCAAGGCAGCTTCAGTAGTGTTTTCCAAAATCAACAACACAGGTTTAATCTGTGTGCCTATAAGTTTCAAAGATTAACTCAAGACAAAGCAATGTTAGGATGTGTTATCAGTAGCTATCTGACACACAATGAGTGTTTCCAAACACACAGATTAGTCATTTGCATATGAATGTGTCAGACACAAGGTCACACAGCCACTGAAAAAAAATCATTGATTTTGGTGTTTTCATCTGCCGATTTTATCGAATTATAGCTATCCCATTCCTTTATTTTTTGGTTTCCAATAGCCTTATACATTTGAATGCCCCTACAACATGTTAAAACAGACCTTGATGTGAAAACAAATCGTTTGTGCTGATAAACAAGCTTGAAAATCTGTGAGTGTGATGTGACTTCATCAACGATTTCTAGGAGTTTATGTTTTTCAAAATACAAGGTCTTTAACAAAAAATATTGTATACTTATTGTCGTCGGATTAACACCAAATTTTCACAGCTCTAAGGTTACAATGAGAGGAACTTGAATGTGTCCAGACAAACTATTTAATGGATTATTTATGTGTTGCGGTTTGAGTTGGGGGCAATGCGACTAAAACAGAAATTAAAATTCAGGACACTGCTTTTTAAAACGCGTTGCTTGAATAAAACTGATCAGACACATTCAATTTACCAGACTATTGAACAACTAGGAAAAGTGAAAAAAAAACTTCTTATCACCAGCATAAATGCGTAATTATTTTTTTTACAAAAAAAGTAATTTTTCACTTTTGATTAAGTAACGCAGCGTATAATGCAGATACGGACATGGCAAACACGCCTTTGTAAAGGTTGAAGTCTGGCGATTCTAAAAATATATACTTTCCTGGGTCTATTTGTAGTCATTTGGTCACAATTAGAAGATGAAAACAAGCATGCAAATAATAGTCCCGCTACCTTAAGGTGACAATGAGAGGAACTTGAATGTGTCCAGACAAACTATTTCATGGATCATTTACCAAATGTGTTGTGGTTTGAGTTGTGGGCAATGCGACTAAAACATAAATTAAAATTCAGGACACTACTTTTCAAAACGCGCTGCTTGAATAAAACTGACCAGACACATTCAATTTACCAGACTATTGAACAACTAAGAAAAGTGAAAAAAAACCTCCTTATCACCAGCATAAATGCGTAATTATTTTTTTTACAAAAAAAGAAGTATTTTTTCACTTTTGATTGAGTAACGCACCGTAGAATGCAGATACGGGCATGGCAAACACACCTTTGAAAAGCTTGAAGTCTGGCGATTCCAAAAATATATACTTTCCTGGGTCTATTTGTAGTCATTTGGTCACAATTAGAAGATGAAAACAAGTATGCAAATACATGTAATAGTCCCGCTACCTTAAACCAAACTATTTCTGAGGTATCCTATTGTTGTTATAGTTGGTACTTGTAGTGTTACATCCATAATTTTGAACTTTGTCCTGCTTTGCTTGTTTAAAACATTCTGTATTTTGGATGTCTTTGGTATTCAGTAGTTGAACTCAAGCGTTATTTTATTATTGAATACTTAACTATTTTCTGTTGATATGAACCTGAATTCTTCAGTACTCTGTACTGATGTGTTGGCCTATATGGTTGTAGCAGTTAGTGGTACTATACATTACTGTGCATAGATATTCCTGTTAGTCATTATAGTAACCACGTAATGAGTAGTATCTTGTAATACATTTTGATAGCACATTACAGAACTTGTAATTGTATTTTCTACTTTTTATTGAGACTTTTATTGAGAAATAACTGCATTACGTGTAACATTACTATGTATTACTGTATCCACGTAGCGTTCATTACGATTGTGTTTCTGTTTGTTATGTGTTAATACAACATTCTAACTTTACACTGAGCTGGGTATTTTGTTATCGAACCCGAGTCCCCACGACCGCATTTAGCCCACTGCCCCGATATATTACTTGTATCCTACCCTTACTGTGTGTGTAGCTTACACTACTATGACACTAAGTGGTCTACAGTGCTGATATTGATAGTGAATGTGCCTTGGGTTGTCCTCTATCAGTTTTGTTAATTTGGTAAGGAAATTTTCAATTTCCTAATTTTTACGAATATTTTAAAATGGTCATTTTTGGTCAAAAATTATATTTTCGACTTCTTCAAAACCAGTAGCCTGAATGCTTTGATACTTAGTTGTATGTACCTTGTGTTGACATCTACTAGATTTGTTCATCCC